CTGGGGTTTCTGGGGCACTGGCCCACCCTGGACGAGGCTGCCCTGGCCAGCGGCCACTTCTGCCCCTTCCAGTCTCTGGCAAGTGTCCGATGCTCAGGTACCTGGGACCCCTGCCCACCGCCCTGGAAGTGGACAACCACTGCGGGAGCTCGTGGGGCTGCTCCTTCACATGCGTGTGTGAGCGTGGGTGCGGGCCTGTGTGATGTGCACGTGTGCGCATAGACGTGTGAGTGTACGTGTGTGTGGGGAGTGCATGGGGGGGAGCGTGTGGGGGAGCGTGGGAGGGCGTGCGTGTGTGGAGGAGCGTGCGTGGGGGAGGGTGTGGGTGTGTGGGGGAGCATGTGGGGGGTGTAGGGGAGGGTGTGGGTGTGTGGGGGAGCATGTGGGGGAGGGTGTGGGTGTGTGGGGGAGCATGTGGGGGGTGTAGGGGAGGGCGTGGGTGTGTGGGGGAGCATGTGGGGGGTGTAGGGGAGGGCGTGGGTGTGTGGGGGAGCATGTGGGGGGGTGTGGGGGAGCAAGTGTGTGGGAGGGCGTGCGTGTGTGGGGGAGCATGTAGGAGGGCTTGGGTGTGTGGGTGGGCGTGCGTGTGTGGGGGAACATGTGTGGGGAGGGCATGGGTGTGTGGGAGAGCGTGTGGGAGGGCGTGTGTGTGGGGGGAACATGTGTGGGGAGGGCGTGGGTGTGTGGGGGAGCGTGGGGGAGGGCGTGCATGTGTGGGGGAGAGTGGAGGAGGACGCGGGTGTGGGGGGGGGGCATGTGGGGGGACGTGCGTGTGCTCATCCTGTCTGGGAGCGGCCCCTGGCACCCCGCCCTCCAGCAGCCTGGCCCCTCTGCGTCGCATCCCCGGCCCCCAGGCTGCATGTTGGTAGAGGACTGGAGCAGCCCCCCTGGGGCCCTAACATTTCCTGGGGGCTCTTCTAAGCCTGTATGTGTATTAACTCATTTCATCTAAGCGGCCGTACGTCTGTTTCATAGCAGAGAAACTGAGACACAGAAGTCAATCACTGACTCACGGTCACACCTAGAAGCAGGCAGAGTAGCATTTGCAACTCGGCATTTCTGAGAGCTGGCTCCCACTGGGGCCGGAGTGCGGGGTGGCTGTGGGGCCCGGGCAGCAGCACCCCGGGTCCTGTCCAGCAGCCGGAGGTTCTGGGGCCTGAGTGTGGGGTGGCTGTGGGGCCCGGCAGCAGCATCCCGGGTCCTGTCCAGCAGCTGGAGGCTCTGGGGCCTGAGTGTGGGGTGGCTGTGGGGCCCGGCAGCAGGCCCCCGGGTCCTGTCCAGCAGCGGGAGGCTCTGGGGCCTGAGTGTGGGGTGGCTGTGGGGCCCGGCAACAGGCCCCCGGGTCCTGTCCAGCAGCTGGAGGCTCTGGGGCCTGAGTGTGGGGTGGCTGTGGGGCCCGGCAGCAGGCCCCCGGGTCCTGTCCAGCAGCGGGAGGCTCTGGGGCCTGAGTGTGGGGTGGCTGTGGGGCCCGGCAGCAGGCCCCCGGGTCCTGTCCAGCAGCGGGAGGCTCTGGGGCCTGAGTGTGGGGTGGCTGTGGGGCCCGGCAGCAGGCCCCCGGGTCCTGTCCAGCAGCGGGAGGTTCTGGCCCTGAGTGTGGGGTGGCTGTGGGGCCCGGCAGCAGGCCCCCGGGTCCTGTCCAGCAGCGGGAGGTTCTGGCCCTGAGTGTGGGGTGGCTGTGGGGCCCGGCAGCAGGCCCCCGGGTCCTGTCCAGCAGCGGGAGGTTCTGGGGCCTGAGTGTGGGGTGGCTTTGGGGCCCGGCAGCAGGCCCCCGGGTCCTGTCCAGCAGCGGGAGGTTCTGGCCCTGAGTGTGGGGTGGCTGTGGGGCCCGGCAGCAGGCCCCCGGGTCCTTTCCAGCAGCGGGAGGTTCTGGGGCCTGAGTGTGGGGTGGCTTTGGGGCCCGGCAACAGGCCCCTGGGTCCTTTCCAGCAGCGGGAGGTTCTGGGGCCTGAGTGTGGGGTGGCTGTGGGGCCCGGCAACAGGCCCCCGGGTCCTGTCCAGCAGCGGGAGGCTCTGGGGCCTGAGTGTGGGGTGGCTGTGGGGCCCGGCAGCAGGCCCCCGGGTCCTGTCCAGCAGCGGGAGGTTCTGGCCCTGAGTGTGGGGTGGCTGTGGGGCCCGGCAGCAGGCCCCCGGGTCCTGTCCAGCAGCGGGAGGTTCTGGCCCTGAGTGTGGGGTGGCTGTGGGGCCCGGCAGCAGGCCCCCGGGTCCTGTCCAGCAGCGGGAGGCTCTGGGGCCTGAGTGTGGGGTGGCTGTGGGGCCCGGCAGCAGGCTCCCGGGTCCTTTCCAGCAGCGGGAGGTTCTGGGGCCTGAGTGTGGGGTGGCTTTGGGGCCCGGCAACAGGCCCCTGGGTCCTTTCCAGCAGCGGGAGGTTCTGGGGCCTGAGTGTGGGGTGGCTGTGGGGCCCGGCAACAGGCCCCCGGGTCCTGTCCAGCAGCGGGAGGCTCTGGGGCCTGAGTGTGGGGTGGCTGTGGGGCCCGGCAGCAGGCCCCCGGGTCCTGTCCAGCAGCGGGAGGCTCTGGGCCTGAGTGTGGGGTGGCTGTGGGGCCCGGCAGCAGGCCCCCGGGTCCTGTCCAGCAGCGGGAGGCTCTGGGCCTGAGTGTGGGGTGGCTGTGGGGCCCGGCAGCAGGCTCCCGGGTCCTGTCCAGCAGCGGGAGGTTCTGGGGCCTGAGTGTGGGGTGGCTTTGGGGCCCGGCAACAGGCCCCCGGGTCCTGTCCAGCAGCGGGAGGCTCTGGGCCTGAGTGTGGGGTGGCTGTGGGGCCCGGCAGCAGGCCCCCGGGTCCTGTCCAGCAGCGGGAGGCTCTGGGCCTCCTGGTGGCGGGACCCAGGGAATTTCTTGGTCTCGGCTCCTGAGGCACCGGCACCAGCGCCGTGAACCCGAGGGGCCCAGATTCGGCCTTGTGGCTGCGGGGGGGTTGGGAGTTCTGGCCCCGGCACAGCACAGCACGGCAGGGCCTGGCTGGAGGCCACGCGGAGTCTCACGTGGCCGAGCTGGGCTCAGAGCAGCGCCTCCCACGCCTGGCTGAGAGGACTTGCTCGCTGGCTTCTGGTTTTCTGTTTTAATTATAAAGGTAGTACGTGTTCGTGGCTTTAGAACAAATAGAAGAACCCAGACAGCCCAGCCAGAGTCTGACGAAGCCACAGCTGTGGAAGGCCAGGGAAGGCCAGCACCGCCCCCGCCCGGCGCAGGGGCTCGGTGGCCAGTGACGCTGACCTTGCCTCAGCTTGCTCGTCTGGCCAATGGGAGTGGGGTCCGGCCGCTCTCACGCCAGGCTGCCCTGCACCTGCACCCGCCCCGCCTCTGGCCCAAGTGGTCCTGGACAGCACCTGCCTCTGCTGTGCTCTGGGCATGGGGGGGCCCTGCTCCCCCAGGTTGTGTCCCCAGTGAGGGGCCTCGGCCGGGCTGCCAGTGCAGGGTGGAGATGGGGCTGACTGCACCCTGGGAACCGGGTGGGCGGGGCTCTGAGGGCTCAGTGGGCAGAGGCTTCTAGGTGGGGGTGGGGCCATCTGATGGAGGATTCAGGAGGAGCCCACTGGCAGGCCCTGGTGACTGACTGGGGGCTGGGGGGGGGTTAGGTTAAGGAGACGCACCAACCCCTTGGAGCCAAGGCCCCGGGGGCAGTGGTCTGTCCTGCCCTTTGCCTCTGACCCGTGAGGACAGGATGGGCAGGGCCCGTGGCACCTCCGGTTAGCGTCCAGCCTGTGCATGTAAGGGTGGACCCAGGGAACCCCCGAAGGCGCTCAGTGTTCCTGTCTCCCCATGTGACCTTGAGCGAGCCGTGCCCCCCAGCTCCAGTCTTGGAGCCTCACGGGGACCCGAGTGCTGGGGCCTGGAGAGCCTTGGGCGGGGAGCAGCTCTGGTCCCACCCCGCTGGGCCCGCCCCATTCAGCAGGCAGGGGGTGGGCACCCCAGCCTGAGGAGCAGTGGAGGGCGCCAGCCCCCCATGCCCAGAGTGCTTGTTGGGCAGCACAGGGCAGCCAGTGGGAAGAGCTGGTGCAGCCTGTGACTGCGGCCTTGGTGGTGCCCGGCTTCCCCACTGCCTGGCAACCGTCTCCTGGGAGACCGCCCCTGGGCACAGGCGCTGTGATGTGCGGCCCCAGTGCCTCTGGCTGCGCCTCTTGTCCCAGAGGGCCCCGCGGGGGTGGTGGGCCTGGAGGGCTCCACCCTCAACAGCACCCAGGCTCCGGCCCAGGGAAGGGCACATGGCTGAGTGCTCAGATGTGGGGGTGGGGAAGGTATTTCCAGGACCTCCCGCGGTCTCGGTCTGGGCCGCTGTGCCAGTGAGGGCAGCCGAGGGGTGCCCGCGGTCACACCACAGCTTTGACGGTGCCCGTTGGGTGGCACGCGTCAGGCCTTCGGTGCGGCACTTACTTGCCCCATGAGGTGCCCTGGGGCTTCACCCAGGGACTGTGGTGAAGCACGTGGGAGGGGCAGAGGAGGCGGCTGGCACCTGCTCCAGCCGGAGGCTCTGCTGCGGTCTCCCTCCCTGTCAGTGCCTGGCCCAGGGCAGGTCAGCTGCTTCCCAGGGGGACCCCTGCCTCGCTGACATCAGGGTGCCCCCCAGGACATGGTGGAGAGTTCTGGGCCCTTCAGGCTGCGGGGGCTCAGGGCCGGGAAGAAGGGGAGGGGATGGATGCTAACAGCCCCTCCCGGGTGCTGCTGTGTCCCTGGTCCTACTGGGACAGGAGTGGCCTTGACCGAGACTGCCTCCCTCCCTGGGAGGCCTGTCCTCTGGCCCCTCCTGTGTTCAAGCACATCCTGCCTTGGGCCCCGTGGGCGGGGTACAGGGCTCGCAGGCAGATAGGTGCTAGGAGAGGTAGACCCGTGGCCTTGCCCCCGGGGTCCCTCGAGTGGAGCTTGGGTTTAGTCCTTGTGTCTAGTACAGGGTCCAGACCCGGTGACCACAGGCACGGCCCGCAGGTGGCTCCCCGGGCCTGGCAAGCACTGGTGTCGGCAGCACGGTGGCAGGCGTCCTGGCCTCCAGCGTGTCCCCTCTGCACGCAGGCGCTGCTGCTGCTGGGGGCCGGCGCGTTGGCCTGCCTGGCCCTGGACCTCCTGTTCCTGCTCGTCTACTCCTTCTGGCTGTGCTGCCGGCGGCGCAAGAGCGAGGAGCACCTGGACGCCGACTGCTGCTGCACCGCCTGGTGCGTCATCATCGCCACACTGGTGTGCAGGTGAGCGGCGGGAGGGGCGGCCCTGCGGGGGGAGGCCGGCCCCAGCGTCCTCACGCGGCCTCTCCCTGCCCAGCGCCGGCATCGCCGTGGGGTTCTACGGCAACGGGGAGACCAGCGACGGTGTCCATCGGGCCACCTACTCGCTCCGCCACGCCAACCGCACCGTGGCAGGGGTCCAGGACCGAGTGAGTTGCTGCTGGGACGGGGGCCCTTCCTGCTGCCGAACCCAGTGCCTGTGGAGAGGGGTGGGTGTGCGGGCCGCCCGCGCGCTGGCTCACTGCCCGCCTGGCGCAGGTGTGGGACACGGCAGCTGCCCTGAACCTCACGGCGGAGCCCAGCCTGCAGAGCCTGGAGCAGCAGCTGGCGGCACGGCCCGAGCCCCTGCGGGCAGTCCAGCGGCTGCAGGGCCTGCTGGACACGCTGCTGGGCCACACAGCTGCCATCCCGTTTTGGAGGAACCCAGCCGTGTCCCTGGAGACGCTGGCCGAGCAGGTGGATCTCTACGACTGGTACAGGTGAGGCCGGCACTCTCCTGTCCGCCCCTGAGCTCGGGTGAAGCTTTGCCCTCCACGGGCGGCTCCCAACACCCAGCGCCCGAGGCCTTCCCGGTTGGAGGGGTGGGTCTCCAGCAGCCGCTCGCAGGAGTGCCCCATGAGGCCATCCGCCGCAGTAACCGATTCCAGTCGCCTTAGCCCAGAAACACCCGTGGGCGCCCCCGGGTCCAGGCTGTTTGCCTGGCTCTGCTGGCTGAGGTGTAGACGCCTGGCCGGCCTCAGCCCCCGTCCTCAGCCCACCCCCAGGCCCTGTGCCCGGCCTGGCCATACCTCCCTGTGCCCGCAGGTGGCTGGGCTACTTGGGCCTGCTGCTGCTCGATGTTGCCATCTGCCTGCTGGCGCTGGTGGGGCTCATCCGCAGCTCCAAGGGCATCCTGGTCGGGTGAGTTGTGGGCCCGTGGCCGAGGGAGGAGGTGGGCACCCCGAGTCAGCACGGGGGTCAAGCACAGGGTCCACCTGGGGAAGGCGCTGCAGGCCTGTGTGGGCAGACCCCAGGTGTGCCCTGCCCTGGCCCCGGCCTGCACCCAGCAGGGGCAGGGCTCCACCCCCTCCCTCTCCCCTTGTGGGGGACACTGATCAGCTCTCATTGCCCCAAGGGTCTGCTTGCTGGGGGTCCTGGCTCTGGTCATCAGCTGGGCCGCACTGGGCTTGGAGCTGGCTGCGTCTGTGGTGAGTGGCAGCGGGGAGGGTGGCCCCACCTGCTGGGCCTTGTCATGGGGGTGGGGGAGCCACGCTCCTTGCCCCTCCCACTCTCACTGGACACGAGGGCCCGAGAGGGTCCTGTCTTTGGGCCCACAGCAGCCAGCGCCCAGGTTCACGCTCCACCTTCCCGAGGGAAACAGACGGGGGGCAGGCTGCACCTCGAGAGCAGAGGGTTGGCAGGCCCTGGTTTGGTCACCCCTTTTCCGTTGCCTGCGTCCACGCAGGGCTCCAGTGACTTCTGTGTGGACCCCGACACCTACGTGTCCAGGATGGTGGAGGAGCACCGGGTGCTGAGTGGGGGTGAGTGAGCGCGTCTGAGCTGGCGCCCAGCGGAGGCCCAGCTGAGCGGGCCGAGGCGCCTCACCCTCGTGGGCCCTGGCGCGGGGTCTGGGGAGGCAGGGCCCGCCCAGAACAGCACCCCCTTCCTCAGTGGGGCTCTGAGGATGAGGACTGCACGGTGTGAGCCCAGTGCTGACGGGATGGGGCAGGTGACCGCTGGGGCAAGGCGGGCAGCGAGCGCGGAGGAGCAGGTGCTATGGCCACGCAGCAGGTGGTCAGGGCCGCCACAGACGTGGCGTTGGAACTGAACCGGAGCAGGCTCTGCCTTGTGTGCCAAGGCCCTGAGGCAGAGACCAGTGGTGTGTCTGTGCGGCAGAAGATACAGCTGTCGGGAGGGGAGGTGGGCGGCATCCGGGCCAGGTTGTGGTCAGGAGCTCGGACTGGACTCCAGGGGCCCAATGGGGTGGGGAGCAGGGCAGAGCCGTAGCCTGTGCCTGGGTGTCCGTCAAAGCTGCTGCACCCTGCAGGCAGGAGTCAGCGCCCCAGGCCACAGGTGAGAAGTGGGCCAGGAGCGGGCGGAGCTGACGGCTGCCCAGGCTGCAGGGGAGGCGGAGGACCGCGGGGCTGGGGGCTGCGGGGGCAGACACGGCCGCTGAGGGGCCCCCACCGGGCTGCTCCCCTTCTGCTCAGGAAGCCCGGGGGTGTGAGGCTGAGCCAGGCAGAGTACAGGGCTGCTGAGGGGCCCCCACCGGGCTGCCCCCCTTTCTGCCCAGGAAGCGGGGGGTGGTGTGAGGCTGAGCCGGGCAGACACGGCCGCTGAGGGGCCCCCACCGGGCTGCCCCCCTTCTGCCCAGGAAGCGGGGGGTGGTGTGAGGCTAGCTTGCAGCTTGTCCGGTTGGGACCTGTCTCCACCTCGCCTGAGGAGCTTGCCCCCAGGAGAGGGGTCAGCCTGCTCTGCTGAGGCTGGTGGGGCCGATGACCGCTGCCCCCACCACTGCCCCAGGCCTCGTGCCTTCAGCCGGGCCCAGCTCCTGGGCAAGCGGAGCAGCCCAGGCCCAGTGGGGCCCGTGGGTGCTCTGTTGTTTCATCGTCAGCTTGAGGGGCCACGTGGGGGTGCAGCCACCCTGCCCTTCTCCAGCCCTTGCCCCCAGTGCCCGTCCTGCGCTGGGCCCCCGAGAGCCCCAGAAATGGAGGTGCCTAGAGCCCCAGAGCCAGTGTCACTGTTCAGGTCCCAGACGCGGACCCCACCGGGGCCTGCGGGCCAGACAGCGGGGGATGGTGAGCGGGCACTCGGGCCAGGGCTCCCCTGAGCTCCCCCCAGGCTCAGGTCTCCGAGGGTTTTCAGAATCAGAACTGTAAGTGGATCCCCATCTTTAGACCTGGGTGCTGCACTGATCCCTGTTTTAGTGGGGTCACGACACGGGCCACGTGTGTCCTGGGCCCTCCAGGCTGTGACTTCTGGGCTGCATCCCTTTCTCTTTAGGGTGACGTTCCTGCCTCAGAAGTGTTCTTCTGCCCAAGTGACCCCTGAGCAAATGCTTCTCGGGGGTCTTCTGACTCCCTGCCCACCCTCAGTGCCCTGTCTGCGCTCCGGGGGGGGGGGGTACGAGGCCGCTCCCAGAGGGAACCCTGTGCCTTGTGCACACACGAGAGCAGAGGGTCTGGGCCCGCTGGGCTCCCTGGAAGCCATGCCACCCTCATACATGAACGCAGACGCTCGCATGTGCAGACAGGTGCAGACACGTCCACATGCAGGGACACAGCACACACACAGGCAAGCACACACATGCAGGTGCACACAGACATGCCCGTGCACACGCGTGCGTGTGCGAGCACACACAGCCATGCACACAGACACGCAGACGCATGCACAGGCGCAGACAGCCGCAGTCGCTCAGCGGCCTCGCCCTCTCTCCGCAGACATCCTGCAGTACTACCTGGCCTGCTCACCCCGCGCCTCCAACCCCTTCCAGCAGGTGAGAGCCGCTGCCCTGCCCTGGCCCCTCGTCTCGGATGTCCGCAGCCCCCAGGCCCACTCTCCGGCCCGTTGACCTGTGGGTTGACCGGAGCTGTGGGGAGACAGCTGGGCGAACACCTGCTGGCGTCACTCAGCGCCCCTTGGGTTCCTGTGCCGGTGCCCTGGGCACATGCCTTCTGGGTGGCCTTCTCTCGTCCCCTGGGTTGCCCTTGGCCGACCCTGCAGCTCTGGTGGATGTGAAGGGAAAGCCCCAGCCCGCTGCCCATCACTCCCATGGCTGCATGGCCCTCGGGGTCCCGAGGACAACCCATCTGCTTTAAAGATGCCGTGCTGCTGCTTTATCTGTACCTCTGGGTGCCTGGCACCTGGGGGCCGGAGGGTGTCCGACAAGCCCACAGAGCAGAGTGCCGGGCGCCCCCTCTGGCCCTGGCGCAGCCAGCCCACCTAGATGCCCCGTGTTGTGGGCGGGGCCTCGGGAGGGGCGCCGGCTGCCTGGCCCTGCTGCCCTCATCAGCCTCTCTCTGGAGCAGAAGCTGTCCGGCAGCCACAAGGCCCTGGTGGAGATGCAGGACATCGTGGCCGAGCTCCTGACGACCGTCCCCCGAGAGTACCCGGCCACCAAGGTGAGGGGTGGGGTGGGCGCAGGGCCAGTGACACCCCAGGGTGCCTCCTGCCTCGTCTCCCTCTCCCTGAAGGTTGTTGGCGGATTCTTAAAAATTATTTTGCTTTATTTTAAAAGTCATATAAATTCTTTATATTAAAAAATTGAGGAAAGCTGGAACAAGATGAAGGTCTGCCTGGCGGGGGATTCCATGTGCACAGTGTGCCTTGGGGTGGTCGGTGACACACACGCACACACACGCGCGCACCCGGCCTCCCAGAGGGCTGGCCGCCTGCGGGGACCTGGCCTGTGCCTGCACCGCCCGCAGCTGTCCTTTTAATAAGCTCTTCCTTCCCAAAGTTTACGTTTCAAAGACATTTGCACACACACAAAGTTACTTCCTTTTACTTCTCATTTCTGTGACCGCCAGGCGCCCCTGGTTTCTGGCAGCTGAGAGCGCAGGCAGGTGTGTTCATTTGCCTGCCCGGGCGCCGGGCGCCGGGCGCTTAGACGTGTGCGTCTCTCAGTCCCGGGGCTGAGGTCCCGGGTCCGGGTGTGGGCAGGCTGGCTGCTCCCTACGCCTCTCTTCTTGGCCTGTGGACGCCATCCTCTCCCCGTGTCCTCACATGTCCGTCCCTCTGTGTGTCTGTCCTCATCTCTTCCCAGGAGGGCACCAGTGAGACTGGGTGAGGCCCCACCCATACGGCCTCATTTTACCTTAATCACCACTGGACAGAATCTGTCTCCAAATACAGCCACATGCTGAGGTGCTGGGGGTTAGGACTTAGGCAGATCTTGGGGGGACATAGTCCAGCCTACAGCAGTGAGTTATATTATCCTGAGACCTGTTCCAGGACCAGAGAGGGTCCTCGGGAAATGTGTCATGAAAGGCGGGTTGGGTCCCATCGCTGATCTAGAGGAACCACTGTCGATCCTGACATCAGCATCTTTCCACAGAGATGTGGACACACATGACGCAGGTGCGCACAGTACACACACAGTGCACACACACGACAGACGCGCACAGTGCATACATGACAGACGCGCACAGTGCACACACAATGTACGCACATGGTGCATGCATGATGCAGATGTGCACAGTATGCACACGGTGCATGCATGGCACAGGCATGATGCAGACACGCACAACACAGGTACACACAGGCGGGCATGATGCAGGCGCGCACAGCGCACGCATGATGCAGATGCACACAGTGCACACATGATCACGTGATCAGGCTCACTCTAGGCAATGTTTTCAGTAATGTTTTGTCATTTAAAACTTCATGAAGTTTTTCCTTTGTCTTTAACTTTTAAAAAAGCCAGTCAGGAGACGTGGGTATTACTATCCCTCCTGTTACAATAAAGGGGTCACATAGTGGCAGCTGCATTGGACAGATGTTGTGGGTTCCACTGTCCCCCTCTGTCCTTGCATCCTCAGCCGTCCCCGAGTCCAGGCCACAGATCCTGGGGATGAAATTTCTAAAAGCCCAGGACCTCAGCCTGCACCGAGATCGCAGGGTCGAGAGTGGTCTCGATGGCAGGGGTGGGGTAGAGGGAGACCTGGGGGTTTCCCAGGGCCCCTGTGGCCGGCCGGGGTCGCCCTCCCAACCCTGGAGCTGACTTTGCATGGTGTGTGCCCCCAGGACCCTCTGCTCCGTGTGCAGGAGGTGCTCAACGGCACGGAGGTGAGCCTGCAGCACCTCACCGCCCTGGTGGACTGCCGCAGCCTGCACCTGGTGAGAGGCCTGGGGCCGCGGCGGGCGTGGGCTGCCTGGGAATGGGGCCCGGCCCAGCCGGTCGCCACATCTCCATCTCACCCTGCCTTCCCGTCTCTTCCGGTCTCCGGGGGCCTTGCCGTCTCTCCCCGCCGGCCTCAGGACTACGTTCAGGCCTTGACCGGCTTCTGCTATGATGGTGTCGAGGGCCTCATCTACCTGGCCCTCTTCTCCTTCATCACAGCGCTCATGTTCAGCTCCGTCGTCTGCAGCGTCCCACACACCTGGCAGCAGAAACGGTAGGGGCTCTGAGAGGCCTTGAGCTCACAGGACCTCCTGGCCTAGTCCCCGGAGACAGGGACAGGTGTCTCCTCGCCTCTTAACACTGCCAGCCTCCGCACCGACCGTGAGGCTGGCACGCCCTAGCTGATCGTTCCCATTTCACAGATGGAAGACTGAGGTAGAGGAGCCCCCAGCCTGGGTGCGCAGGAGCCGGAGCAGGCAGTGCTGGCTCCATGCCCCACGTCCTGCCGCGCCTCTGGCTGGCTCCAGAGTGTCTCCTCCGTCTGTCCACCGCGGTGAAGACGTGAGGGTTGTGCTTGTGGAGACCAGCTGGCTGGCTGTGGGGACGCACAGCTGTGCAGGGAGGGCCTTGGGTGATGTGGCCTTCATGGCCCCCTCAGCTGGGTGACCAGGGTGGCAGCTACCTCCCATGGGGCCACTATTCCTTATCTTTGAGTTGGGGTCCTGGCAGCCCGTCTCAGTCTCCCGTCAGTACCAGGTTGAGTGGTGTATCAGGGTGCCGGGCCCCTTCCCTTCTTGGGCCTCCACAGTTTATCTCCACAGCTGCCACCTCCCCGCCCAGTGGTGCTGTGGCTGCTTCTTGGTGGCTTAGCTTGGATGGCAGATCATTCAGCTCAGATCTCTATCCTCTGCCTGGATTTCACTCCATTATTTTGTTGTGATGGTACTGATGGTGGTGGTGGTGATATTGGTAGTGGTGGTGGTGGTGGTGGTGGTGGTGGTGGCAATGGTTATAAAGATGGTAGCTCTAGGATTCTCTAAGAACACAGCCCTAGAACCACATGGCCTGGATTCAGATCCTGACTCTACCCTTGCTTATTGGGTGACTATCAATAAGTCACTTAGCCGCTGTGGGCCCCAGCTTTCCTTGCTGCACAATGAGGGTTGGGAGAGTATACCTCTCCTGTGGTTGGTGGCACTAGGTGGGCCACAGGTGTGAGGGCTCCACCCTGGGCTTGGCTGATCATTGGTGCTCAGCCAGTTGCCAGCACTGTCGGGCACATCCCACGGCAAGGAGTGTGGCAAAGACCCTGTGTTGGAGGCGCCCGGCTGGTGTGTGCCCTCACCAGCAGGCAGCCCAGCCCTGAGTCCCTTCCGGGATGATGCTCTTTGAAAGAGCCCGAGACCTGGCCCATGGCCCCCTCGCCGGGCCCTGTGCAGCCTTCGGGGAGTGGAGGGTGGACAGCCAGGGCCAGCAGAGTAGGGAGGACTCAGCTCAGCCCTGTGAGCTCAAGCTTCTTGGGTGCAGATGGGCCCTATGGACTCAGACTACCCGAAGCTGCAGGCTGGGACCTGCAGGGCCACCTGAGCTACCCCAGGAGGGACCGTGCTCCCTTTCAATTTGCAGATGGTCCGCGTCTCATGTGCAGGCCGAAGCGCAGGGCCCTGGGTACCCCTGTCTCATGGAGAAGCGGGGTGACTTCCAGGGGTGGAGGCAGGCGTCTGCACCGGAGCTGGCCCCCCAGGTCTGGCGGCACTGCCTCATGTCAGGGCCTGAGCCTGTGCTGCTCCCTCCCCACAGGGGCCCCGATGAGGACGGGGAGGAGGAGGCCGCCCCGGGGCCCCGGCAGGCACACGACAGCCTCTACCGCGTGCACATGCCCAGTCTGTACAGCTGCGGCAGCAGCTATGGCAGCGAGACCAGCATCCCGGCCGCGGCCCACACCGTCAGCAACGCCCCCGTCACCGAGTACATGTGAGTCGAGTGCATGTGAGTCGAGTGCATGTGAGTCGTGCCGGGAGGGGCCAGGCGGGCAGGCCGGGCGGGCAGGCCGGGCCAGCGCAGCTCAGGAGCTCAGTGCGCGCGCGCTGCCGCCGAGCGCAGGTCCAGCCCTGGGTGTGTGAGCAAGAGGGGGCGGGGACAGGCACAGCCAGAGGAGGGTACTGCTGGGCACAGGCGGAAGGGGCATTCCCGTGTGCCGACGCGAGGACTGGGCCTCACCCCCAGGCGGCCACTGGGTTTGGGGTGGGGTTGGCCTGGCATCGAGCGCCTCCTGCACGCAGGCAGACCTGGGCGGAGGCCTCAGGGATGCTGTGCTGAGGGCAGGCGTCCGGGCTAGGGCAGGCGGGCACCCTTGGGCCCACTCTGAGCCCTTGGTCACTGTGCTGGGTTCCCTGGGCCCTTCAGGCCCTCGAGAGCCGGCAGCGTCCAGGGACGATGAGACCACGCAGGCTGCGCACAGTGTCTGCCTGGCTCCAGGGCAGCCCCGGGCTCGGAGCTGGGACAGCACGGCCGGCGGTCACTCACAGCCCCTCTCTCCTCAGGAGCCAGAATGCCAACTTCCAGAACCCCCGCTGTGAGAACACCCCCCTCATCGGGCGCGAGTCCCCACCGCCCTCGGTAAGTCTCAGGGCAGGAGGGTGGGTGGGGCACCACCCTGACGCCTGGTGGTCTGCTGTCCATGAGCCTGGCGGGTGGGCTCAGGTGCTGGCCTGGTATTCTGGGGCCGGAGTGGGCAGGCGGGCCCTGACTTCTCTCCCACCTGACTTGCTATGTTCTCTTCCTTTTTTTTGATTTCCTGAGCTTAACCCAGGTCTTGTTACCTGGCTGTACCAGCCTGGCCTGGTGTCCCCTCGGCCCTCAGGGGTAACACACAGAAAAGGGGGGCAGGGTGATTTTGTGCCAAAGAGACGTTTATAGAGAGGCGGAGCCCTGGCGAGCTTCCTGGAGGTGGCGGGTGGCAAAGGACAGGGTGGCCAGAGAGGCTGGAGGCCACCTGGCTGTGGAAATACCTGCCGCGTGTGCAGAGGCCCCGCTGGGCCCTGTAGCACAGCTGGCCTGGGTGCCCGGGGCCTGGGCTGTGTGGGTTCCCAGCCTGCGCTCCTCCTCGGCCCCCATGGCCGCCTCCGGCCGGGCCCACACCTGGCGTTGAGGCCGCACTCTCTCTCTCCTGCACCCCTCCTCCCCGGGTCCTCCTAGAGGTACCTGGCTGCCCTGGACTCTGGCAGCCACACGGGCTGGCAGTTTAAGCCCATGGACAGTGCCTGAACACGGTGGTGCCTGTGCCCGCAGAGTGACAGGTACGACCCACCTGGGTCCCCTGCCCTGTGCACCGCCCACCTGCCTGTGCCGCCGTGCCTCACGCCCTCTGCTCACTGCTGCCCCTCACCAGGTGGGCCTTGGGCCATCTGACGTGCCCTGGGCCAGCTCTGGACGGACACAGGCCCGTGGGCTTTGTGGCCTCCGGCCCAGCCAAAGACCTGGTGCTGGCCCTCGTGCCCAGGCAGTAAGCCCTCCCCCCAGCCCAGCTGCAGGCGGCACAGCCCCTCTGGCCACCTCCCAGCAGGGGGCGTCCACCCAGGCCTGTGCACGCCTGCACCCGGGGCTCTTGGCGCCGCCCTGCGTGTCCTGAGTGTGCACGGGCGGCGCAGACACGCATGCGAGCTGCTCCCGCTCCTCTGGGTGCTGCACGCCTGCATGGGCCCTCGGGTGGGCGCAGCCACCATCCTGCCCTTGCTGCACGTCCTCGGAATGACGTGGGCCTGTGCCCGCTCCCCTCCCTGTCCCTCCTGGCCCTGACGGGCACACACGGCCTTCTCCCACCAGTTCTGGGAGGGCTCCCAGGACCCAGGGACACGGTCCCTCCTGAGCAGGGGACTGTGGGGTGGGCCAGCGTGAGGCCGTGGAGGCAGCCTGCCAGACTGCACCCCTGTGACCTGTGGCACACGCCTCGGCGTTTGTCCCCACCCCCGGGGTGTGACCCGTTACACATTACCAGGCCATAGTACACACCTCCACGTGCCGTGGGCACATGCATGCACACACATGCAGGTACGCACACACACGTGCAGGCACGCACGCACACACGTGCACTGAGCGAGGCCCCTGCTCCGGGCTGGCAAGGGGAGCTGGACTGTGTGGGCGCCCCTCCCCAGTCACCTGTCCCCACGTCTGACCTGGGAGGAGACCACAGCCGGTCCCCACATGAGTGGGCCTGAGGGGCCTACGCTTTGGGGGCCCCTTACCCGGGAGATGGGGCAGCTCTGGGCCTGTGGAACACAGCCGCCCGGCCCTGGCGTGGGCTCCGCTCTGGGTGTTCAGGGTGCAGCAGAAGTGCCTGGCACAGCCCTCGCATGCCCGAGACAGGGGTGGGGCACGTGTGCCCTCATCCTGTGTCGGGGCCCTTGGGGACTCACCGGGCCAGTTGGCTCCTGGCAGCCCCTCCCTCAGGGCTGCCCCGCCCCGCCCCGCCCTGGGAGTGCTGCGAGCTCGCCCTGCGCAGGCCTGCGCCCGCGGTGCCCGTGCCCTGCTCATCCCGACCCCTGTCTCCCTGCAGTACACGTCCAGCATGAGAGCCAAATACCTCGCCACGAGCCAGCCTCGCCCCGACTCCAGCGGCAGCGGCCACTAGACCACCCGCCAGCCACTGCCCCACGTGCCAATCACCCCGCTCCTCCCAGGCCTGCTGCTCCCACGAGGCCCCGCGGCCCCCGCATGGTGCTGGGCCCTTGCTCTCCCCCCTTCCTGCAGGAGCCTAGAATGCCATCGGGCCCCCGCCGGCGCAGATGTGGGGGCTCTGGGCTGCACCCTGTCCTGGGGCACTCGCCTGGGCACTGGGAATGCTGCCACGGACACCAGGACCCTCTGGGCCACCAGGATGGGTTTGCGGAGCCCTGCTCCGGGCCACACAGACAGCGCCATGCCCCTGCCGCGCCCCCGGTGTCCCGGCTCGCAGTGCCCCCTTCCTCCGCAGCCCTGCACCGCTGGCCACTCACTGCCCGCGCCGGCCTCGCCCTCTGCTCTCCTCTCTCCTTCTCTCCTCCCTGCCCACAGGCCCCTGCGCCAGCCGCCAGAGCCCCCTGGGGCCGCCTCTGCCTAGCTCGCTCTCTCCCCAGCGCCTGCAGCACCTGCCCTCCACGCGGGACGGCGCTGTCACGCCAAGCCGAGGCCGCACACCAGTGCTGGCCACCTTCTCGGTGCCAAACCCCTCCCTCCAGACGTGGCAGCTGGTTCGGTCTGTTCTTTGCACTAACTGGTCTCTAGGGTGCGGGCTGCGGCTGCTGGTCGAGCACACGCCCTCCAGTCCCCTTCTGTCCAGGACAGGTGCAGTGTTCCGGAGCCTGGCCTTGGGGGCTGGACCCGAGCTGCCTGTGAATGAGCCCTCGGCCCACCCCCCGGGACTAACCACTAACCTCACCCCAGCACCGCTCCAGCGGGCGGCAAGCGCAACCCGGGCAGACAGCCAGCTGGAGTCGGGCTGGCCCGGTTCTTCTCGGGGCCCCACAGGGCAGAGCGTGGACCAAGGGCGGCCCGAGGCCCTGCGAGCCCAACCCGGGCCGGTGCTGCCCTGGGCTGGGCCATAGATAGGACCGATGTCCCCGCGGGCTCGGTCTCCCTACCTGTGAAGTGGGAGCAAGGCCTCCCTGAGGTGCTTTTGGGTTCGGTGTACAATGTTTGCTGCTTCCTGCCGTGGAGGGGGGCCCGGCCAGCCCCCCTCGGAGACAGTGGGCGTGGCCTGTGTGCCAGGCCAGGGGCAGCAGAGGGTCCCCCGCCCCTGAGTGAGGCCCCAGCCAGGGCCCCGCAGGAGGAGCCGGGCAGCTGGCTGGCAGCTCGGAAACCATGGGCTCTAACTCCCAGGGGGCGGCCTTCCCTGCCCCTTGGACCTTTTCTTTGAGCTGGTGTCTGGGACCAAAAGGGTAGGGGCCAGGTCACCTCTGCCCTGCCCCAGGGGCGGCCTTTGCCCTGGAGGGGAGGGGAGTGTTCTCCCCTGGGCCCCGGGCAGGGCCGAGCCTCCCTGCACTGCTCCGGTCCCCGCGGGTGGGCCTCCCCAGGGCCGGCCCTGTGGCAGGAGCTCTCTGGTCTGGCCAGGTGGTGCCCCGTGAATGGGACAGTGGGCCTGGCCTGGGCCCCTGCCGCCGGGAGGCCCGCCTCCCTGGCTCCCCGAGTTCCCTGCACCCCTTGAAGCTGAGGAAAGGGAGCAGAAAAAGTCCGAAGGGTTCAGGCCCGAGCTTCAGTCCTTGGAGGGGAGGGCGGGTCCCACATTGATTTTCTTTTCTGTTTTAGGGGCCCCTTTCTAGCCACCCCCTGTCCCACTGACCTCTCCACATCTGCTCCACCCCAGCTCCAGTGGCCTGGACCACAGGGGCAGGGAGGCCGCAACGCCCGACCGGGTGCAGCCCCCACGGGCTGGGTGAGCAGGAGGCGGGGTCCAGCTGGGCCTGGCTGGGGGCGGCCTGGTCGGAAGCCCCTGACCTTTTCCCGGCCACACCACCCATCTCACTATGCAATTCCAGTTGGAGCTCCATCCCCCACCCAGGACCCTGCCGGCCCGAGGGAGGGGTTGTGGGACCTTTGTTTAGCCATGATGGTCATGCTCGTGTTTGTTACACATACTCTATCTCCATATAATTGTTTTGAGACCCCGACTCTCCCGATCCCCTTCTGGCCCTGTCCCCTTCCACCTGACTTAACATCTGAGCTGACCTGGGACTGAGGCCTGAGCCATGGGCATTGACCTTCAACCTCCGACCTCCCCAGGGCCATGGCTGGGCGTGCTGTTGCTGTGTTTCTGGGGGGGGGGGGGGTGTTTTGTTTTGTTTTTTTCAAACTGGGTTTGGGGTTTGATTTTTATATCTTTGGGGCTTTATTTTTCTTGGCAAATACTAAATCTCGTCAGTGTAATTTCTGTGGTTTCTATTCAGCTTGGGTTTCATGTTTTAAAATAAACAAATTTTAAAAAACAGGCCTTCTCTTCCTGAGTGTTTCTGGCTCCCGCCGGAGCCTGTGGCCAAGCTGTGGGCAGAGCGGCCACGCGCGAGGACTGGGCTGGGGGCAGAGGGCGGGCAGCAGGCCACATCTGGGGGTGGTGGTGGGCACCTGGGCTGGGGCAGAGGGCGGGCAGCAGGCCACATCTGGGGGTGGCGGTGGGCACCTGGGCTGGGGGCAGAGGGCGGGCAGCAGGCCACATCTGGGGGTGGCGGTGGGCACCTGGGCTGGGGCAGAGGGCGGGCAGCAGGCCACATCTGGGGGAGGCGGTGGGCACCTGGGCTGGGGCAGAGGGCGGGCAGCAGGCCACATCTGGGGGAGGCGGTGGGCACCTGGGCTGGGGCAGAGGGTGGGCAGCAGGCCACATCTGGGGGTGGCGGTGGGCACCTGGGCTGGGGCAGAGGGCGGGCAGCAGGCCACATCTGGGGGTGGCGGTGGGCACCTGGGTTGGGGGCGGTGGGCGGGCAGCAAGCCACATCTGGGGGTGGCGGTGGGCACCTGGGCTGGGGGCGGTGGGCGGGCAGCAGGCCACATCTGGGGGTGGCGGTGGGCACCTGGGTTGGGGGCGGTGGGCGGGAAGCAGACCACATCTGGGGGTGGCGGTGGGCACCTGGGCTGGGGCAGAGGGCGGGCAGCAGGGACCGCATCCGGGGGCGGGGCCTCTGGTCAGCAGAGCAGGAGGGTTTGGGGGCAGGCAGTGGGGGTCCCCAGGAGGAGCATTTCCTGAGTCGTCTTGTGGTAACTCCTGGTCCTAAGCACCTTGGTGGGGTTCCCAGGGCAGTGCCCCTGCCCCCAGTGCCAGCCTGTCATGGGTTCACTGGGGTCCTCACTAAGCACAAGGACACCCCACCCCTCCCCCTCCCAGGTGGGAGCATCACTCCTGTTATCATTAGACACACTTGGAGGAGCCATGTGCCCTGGGAGGCTGGACGCACACCACCCAGCTCACGGGGCACCCTGAGGGCACTGTGGAATTGGGGGAGGCACCTGTTGACCAGAAAAGCATGTCTCCCAGGCCCAGAGCACAGGGGGACACCCCGGGTGTGCACAGGTGGCTGGGCGGGCAGGGCCCCAGCTCACCCCAGGGGTCTCCTATTTGACTGACTCCCGAGGAGGGGCCAGGACGCCGAGCACCCAGGGCTGGACGCGTGGGGCTCCAGGCTTTCTGGGGTGCTGTGTGGTGAGGAGAGTGAACCGAGGACCTTTGAGCAGAGAGCCGGGGCCACACGGGGCCACCAGGGCCCTGACCTCTGACCCCAGAGTCCCTGTCTGTACGTCAGGGAGGGCACGTGGTGTCCTGCTTCCAGAGGGGCCACTGCTTTACTGGAGACCCCCACCCAAGGCCACAGGGAGGCACCGCCAGCTTCCCCTGGACCCTGACCCTCCGCCCCATGAGGACCTCCCAGCACCCTCGCACGACAGAGTCCCTTTGCCACGTACACACGTTCACAGGTTCTGGGGACACAGGCACCATGGACAGAAACGGGGCCGCGTACTAGGCCCAGCCAGCTCGGGGCGGCCAGCGTGGCAGCCCAAAGGCCGGAGGCCGGAAACCACGCAGGGCAGTGGGCACAGGATCCCTCACTCTGCGCTACACGCTGGGCCGCAGCGTCCCTGACAAAGGTCAGTCTTCACCCCCACGGAAGCCGGTCTGTTGTGTGTCTGTATCTAGATGTTACTTTGGAAAGTCAGCGTGACCTCCTCTTCCAGACTCCTTGGGGCACAGCCACCACGCCAAAGCAGGACCCCTCGGGGACTTGTCCCCCGAGCCCCATCAATGCGTGACAGCGACGTGAACCGTCAGCTGTCCTGTGCCCACCAATGGAAAAGAAGGGTGCTTTTGTCCTGTTCTTGACCCAGTTCCAGAGATCTGAGATCACCCCGCTTTCTGTCTCCCGCCCCCTTAGTCTACGACGGCTGGGCTTCACACGACCCCTTCCGCCGCCTCCTTTGGTTGTAACGCATAAAATAAGCTGCAAAACTGCCCTTCTCTGGAGCGTTTTCTCAATCTGTTCAGATTTCGCTTCCCAGCTACTGCCGTCAGTTTTGCTCAAATAAAGTCATAAAAAATTTCTACAGGTTTGGATGTTTCTTACATCAGCGGCAGCTTTGGGGGCCATTATCCTGCCTGCCATGAAAGCTAATGTTGAGAACATTGGAGGAAAGAGTTCCAGGCAGAGCGACGAGCCAGTGCAAAGGCCCTGCGGCAGATAATGCCTGGTACGTCCAGGCAAGGAGGCGAGGGTGGCCAGAGGGAGGGGCGAGTGGAGTGGTCGGAGATGGGGTCAGAGGTGTAGGCCCTGAGAGGACTTCGACACTAACCCTGAGGGAGTTGGGAGCCATGGAGGGTCTCAGAGAACTGACACGACCTAGCATTCATTTCAACAGGATTGTCCTGGCTCCTGAGCTGGGGAGGGAACCAGCAGCAGCAGGAGACTGGTCAGGAGGTGACGGCAGCCATGCAGGTGAGAGTGGAGGGCAGCTGGCCAGGGTGGTGGCCAGCATGGAGTGGTGACGGGGACGGCATTCAGGAAAGAACGCCAACAGCTCCTCCTGGCTGCGTGGTGGAGTTAGGTTTGAGCTGGCAGGGGGTGGTGTCCTAAGTCGAGATGGACCAGGGAAGGCCAGAGGCCCGGTTTGGGGCAGGCTGAGCTGAGGTCTGCTGGACACCCCGGGAGGTGTGGGGACGACGAGCCTGGGACGGGGAGAGGTCTGGGTGGAGATGGCAGCTGGTTTGTGTGAGGGGACACAGCACAGCAGAAAGAACGGATGCAGGGAGAGGGGTTACTGGTGTGACGTTCTGAGTGTCCCAGAGGGGCTGGCCACAGACAGGAGCTGGCCCGGCGATCAGAGCGGTTGAGCAGTGTGGATGGGGTGGGCAGGCGGGGGGCCCCAAGAAATAGAGGGAGGCTGGAGAGGAAGTGGGGGGCGAGGAGAGGGACTGTGGGAGAGCTGTAGCAGGGGCGTGGGGTGCCCACCGGCCCAAGGCTCCCTCCCGTCTGCAGCTCAGGGGGGCATCTTCCCCCAGCTGTCCAGGTGTGGGTGCTGAGCAGGTAACAGGTCAGGGAGCGCCCAAGGGCAGGGAAGGTGACTTCAAGGGCACGGCCGGACCTGGGACTCCAGGCAGGGAAGGACATGAGGGGTGAGGTCAGGGGCCCCGCAGGGTCAGAAAACCTCCTGTCAGGGACCCACCTGAAGTCCCCGATGGGCCGGGGGCAGCCAAGAACCTGCATCTCCAGCAAGTTCCCAGCGACCGAAAGCTGCTGGTCGGTGGCCACGTCTGAGCAGGGAGCGAGCAGGCAGTGGGCTGAGGCCAAAGCTCCGGGGATTCCGAGCTGGGCCACGCGGAGGCAGCAGCCAGCCCTGCGCCGGAGCCTGGGGACGGGAGGGGCAGGGATGGCTGGGTGGCGGCAGCTCAGGCTTCCTCTGGACCTTACTCACTGGTCATAACGTTAGGATTCGGGATGTGGACTTTGAAGAGGAAGGTCAGAGGTGCTGACTGTAGAGAGGCCTCTGCTCCCTGCCCCAGGTCCTGGGGAAGGAGGGCTCACGCGGGGAGCCACCACCTCTGGCCACTAGGTGGCGCCAAAGGTCCATGGTGGGTTGTGCACGGAGGGGTCCCAGAGGCCTGGGGTGAGAGTAGGCCGCTCTGAGCCCCCAAACTCAGCGCGGCGCTATAATCCAGGCAACCCCAGCAGCCTGGGTCCCTCCTATCCATGTGCCCCCGTATGTCACCCCAGGCTCAGAAAGGGCATGGGAGGGGTCACCTCCAAGAATACGTGGCAAGGCTGGGGACCGGCGGACAGGCCTGGTCTGACAAAGGGATGAGGCTGGCCCTGGCCGCCCACTTCCCCTGACCCAGCCCCGGGCTGCAGCTACCTGCAGGGTCTGGCGTCCACCTGCGGGAGGCCCCGCCTGCTGCTGCTGACGGGACCCGAGCCCTGCACACGGACCGGGCCGGCCACCCCGCACTGGGCCCAGGCTGTGCTGGGCCGCTCGCCCGCCTCCGTGCGCCGGGTTCTGCACATTCCCGCTTAGCTCAGAGGCCTCTTCGGGGACGCTGGCCACGACGCCCCGGGGAGGAAGTTTAAACGAGCAGAGAGGGGCCCACCCTGGCGCCCCTCAGCCCTTCTCAGACCTGGCCGCCCGGAAGCAGAGGAGAGGCGAGCAGCCCCCAGCATAGAAGTTTCGCCTTTTCTGTTGTAAATCCTCAGCTGAGGATACTTTTCCATTGATTTATAGAGCGGGAGGGGGTGGGGGGAGGAGGAGAAGCAGCGATGTGAGACACATCGATTGGTTGCCTCCTGCACACGCCTCGACCGGGGCTGGGTGTGGAACCTGCAACCCAGGTAGTGCCCTTGACTGGGAATCGAACCCGAGACCATTCAGTGCCCGGATCGACGCTCTAACCGCGGAGCCAAACAGGGCAGCTCACCTTTCATTTTTGCAAGTAGAACTGCCCACCCGTTTGAGAGCGGACAGGCTGGGCCGGGCTGGAGGACGGGGAGCCCCTTGGGCTAGGCAGGGCCCTGTCCAACCAGCCACCACCTCATGCGTAGGCTGGGGACAATGACGCCACCGTGGGTGGGGCTTGCAGAAGTCCCTTCTGACTCATCCGCTGGGGAGCCCCCTTCCCCAGTTCCTGTGAGGCCCCTCCTGGGCCTGCTTCCCCTTCTGAGGATGGAGGACTTCCCTTCCCCAAGAGAGGGCCACCGCACCGCTGTCCTGGGCTCCTGTGACCCTCCCCAGGCCCAGAGCTCCAGGAATTACACTTGTCCCCACTGCTCAGACGGAGAGGTTGGGGCACGGAGGGGCAGGACCTTCTCCCCACCCTGCCCGGTGCCCCCACACATGGGGACAGTTGGGGCGGCCCCAACTCTGAGGAGGACTCCACCTGCCACACCTGTGCTCCGGGGCCCTGCCCGCTTGCGGAGAGACATGCCAGCTGCCTTGGGCCCGAGTCTCCCTGGGCCCTGGGCCTCCGACTCGGCTGGGCAGGAAGGAGGCCCAGGGCTCTGCCCGCACTCGGCAGCTGCCGCCACTTCCCCTCCTCATCCGAGAAGACGCGCTGCGCCACCCGCCCCTCCCCGGCCTGGCACGGCATTGCCCAGAGACCACAGGGGTCACACGGGATGGCGAGGGTCACTCCAAGGCTCCTGGAGGCCACGCTATGCTGACTGGGCCCTGGCCAGGCACCCACAGGCCCGGACAGCCACTACCAGGGCTGTGAAGGGGGGGGGCCCTTGAGGCCCAGCTGGGGAAACTGAGATGCGGGCATGGGGCTGGCGGGCATGGGGCTGGCGGGCAGGGGGCTGGCGGGCAGGGGGCTGGCGGGCATAGGGCTGGCGCCTGGCCCCAGGGGTCTCGGGCAGGCGCAGGGCTGCGCGGCTCCTGTTCACCAGGCTAAGCTAGCAGCAGGGTGGAGGCGCAGTGGGAACTGGAGCCCGGGGCCACCTGGGGCACTGGGCAGTCCCCGGGAGGCCGGGAGGAGGAGGAGGAAGTGAGGGCTGCCCAGGCCGCTCGGGAAGGTGCTCAGGGAATTCCCCAGCTGTGGCCCCCGAGCCTCTGCCATCCTCAGGGCCCCTTTGCGAAGAACACGGGCGGTCTGAGTCCGCGCCAGCCTCGGGGACCTGTCCCGGGTGGGCTCTTTAGGAGGGGGGTCGGGCTCCGGAAGGCCAGGGCCCAGGCCCGCGCGGCCTCCGCGTGTGAGCCCTTCACCTCTCCAGCTGCCTGGCCTTGGGCATCACCCCCTCCAGGCCTCAGTTTCCCCATCTGCACAACGGGGCAGCATGTGGCCTGAGGCCGGCACGGAAGCCCCAGGCCAGGCAAGTCCCTGCTCGCCACCCCCCCCCCCACTGCAAAGCGCTGCCCAGCCGGGCAGCTGGCGCAGACAGACCAGGACCCCAAAGAGCACCGCCCCAAAGAGCACCTTTATTCACAGCGAAGGACGTCACCATAGCAACCACACTCCGATTCCCTGAGAACCTCTCCCTCGTTGTCCGCTTTCCTAGCTACGTCTTTGCGGAAAGGAGAACAGGAGACAGACACGCCCCGGCCGGGTGCCCGCGAGGACTCGGAGCGGGGTCCCAGAGGACCCGCAGATGCACGCAGCATCCGTTCCAGCTCCGGCCAACGTGACCCCGAGCGTGGCTCCCGCTTTCTCTGATCCCCAGAAAAGATAAAATACTCCCTCCCCCAGCCCCCGAAAACAAAGACAGAACACCCTACGTTTGCCCGCCCCCTTTGAAAAACAAGCACAGTAAAAATACTGTCACAGTATTTACAGACACGCCCACTATGGGCGACGTGCTCTACCTCGGAGAGGTAATGCCCAGCTCTGATCCCCCTCTTGGGGAGACAAAGGGAAGCCCTCTGAGAGGGTTCGGGAGACCCCCACCCGGAGGGCAGGGGAGCCACTGGGGCTGCCTGGCGCCGCAGCTCCGTGGGAGGAGGCGGGGACCGGCCACTGCGCCCAGCGTCCTGGCAGGGCTGTTGTCCTGGGGCCCTGAGCCCCCGCTGCCCAGAGACCCCACAGAGGGATATGAAACGGCCCCAACGGATCCTCCCGGGCCTGGGCTGCCCGCTGACCGAGGACCATGAGAGGTGACAGCAGCGCCCACGCGGGCTCCTCGGAGCCGCCCAGCAGCCTGCTACGCAGACGGGCACACAGTACACTCACGGAGGCACAGCCCTGGGAGCCCCAGAGGACAAGGCCGGGCGGCACAACAGGGGTCCCCAGGCCCTTTGGATACCAGGGGCGCCCGGGGACGGGGTCTGGGCCGAGGCTGCTAGAAGGCGGCAGCGTGGGGACACCAGGGGGTGTCCGGGTACAGGTGGCAGTGGATGGAGCGGAACCTGTGGGGACAGAGCGGGGGCAGGAGTGGGGTGGGGGTCCCACAGCACCCGGGGGCCCTCCTCTGCCCTGAGCAGGGTCCTAAGGAATCGTTACAGTCAAGCTGCTGAGTGACCCCCGGCCCCAGCCCCACCAGAGCCCCAGGGGACTCTAGGTAAACCTCCCTCCCCCCCCGGGCCTCAGTTTCCTCACCTGGACGGGTCGGCCTCCACCGAGAAGGGCCCCTTAATGTGGACGGCATTCCGCTTGTTCTCAAACATGCCGTAGCTCAGGGTCACCTGCATGGAGAGGCCCAGAGTGATGCCGGCCCCACGCCTGGCTGGGCAAGCGGCCGGCCCCACGGCTCCGGACGAGGGCACAGCCCCGCCTTCTGCCCGCCTCGGACCGCGGAGGGCAGGCGCGCCTCAGGGCACCGCTCGGCACCCGCTCTGCCACCCAAGGAACAAGGCCCGAGTGCTGGGCGCGAGAAGAGACCCAGAAGGCCCAGGGCAAGCATGTCAGGCTGAAGACCAACGACGGGAAGAGCGGACGAGAGCATCTGCATGGGGTCCGTGCCGGAGGGGGCATGGGGTGTCCGGGTGGCGGCCAACAGCGGGGCCCTTTCCGACGCCCAGCCTGCGCCCCTCCCCCACCCGCCCTGTGCCGGCCGGCGCACCTGCTGGTGGAGCTCCGAGGGGGGCACCTGCTGCAGGTTTTCCAGGTGGGAGTGGAACAGCCCGCTGCGGGTGAGGGGCACACCCAGAAGGGCCTCCACGATGTAGCCCACGGTGCAGTCGTCCGGCAACCGGATGCGCTCCGCTGTGCTCATGAAGTGGCCCCCGCTGTGGGAACGAGCACCGTGAGCAGAAGCGGAGCCTGCTGCCCACGAGGAGCCAGGCGGGGCCGCCCAGGCAGAGGATGCACCGAGCAAAGAACCCCAACACCACACACCCTGAACCCCAACACCACACCCCCTGCGCTGTGCCAGCCTGGCACTCTTCTGTGATCCAGGAGCTGCTGGTGCAGCCAGGGGTCTTGCCCAACGGCACTGGCCCTGGGTGCTAGCACCCTGGTGCCCACTGGCACGAGGTAGGAGGCGGGGGGACCCATGACTCAGCCTGCATGTGAGTTTGGGGACACCCGACACCGGGAAGATGGACAAAGCCAGGCCCACACGGGGGAACCTCAGGACCTAGGGTGCCCTGGCCTGTCGCGCAGCCTCACCGATGCCCAGGGCACTCACCTGGCCCAGGGGCTCATCTTCAGGGCCAGCCCGCGGCTGATGCAGAAGCCAGCTCCCCCGGTGGCAAACCAGAAGTGGACAGGACGCTGCAGGGCGGGGGAACGTGGTGAGACGCCCCCAGGCAGCAGGGGGCCCTCAGCCTCCCCGCCCCAGCTCAGGTGCGCGCACAGACCACTCACCAGCTTGTTCTCGCCGACGCGCTCCGTGGCCTGGATGGGCCTATCCAGGCTGGGCTTGCCCAGGTACACGTCCTGCGTGTGCGGGTAGCTGGCCAGCAGGCGCAGCAGGGCCCGCGCGTTCACGTAGTTGTCGTCGTCCACGTGGCAGAACCACCTGCAGGCGAGGCGGCGTCAGGGTCTGAGGGGGGTCCAGGCCGCGAGGGTGGGGCTGCGGGGGTGGGAGCCGGAGGGGGCGCGGTCCTCGCCCGGCCCGGGACCCACACTCACTTCCTCCCCGACTCGATGAAGTGGTCATACTCCACCGCCATCTTGCAGGACAGGGCCTGGCGGCTGTGGGCAGCTGAGCAGTTGGTGTTGACCACGCTGCCTGCAGACAAGGGGGGCTGTAGTTCAGTGCGCGCGGGCTCAGCACAGCCTGGCCCGGGGGTGCTGTCGGCCCAGGCTCCTTGGGGTCCTCACTCAGTCCCCTCCCCCGTGCAGGACGCAGGCCTGGTGGCCCCCCAGCCCGCCCCGCCCCCGCCCATCCCGCCAGCAGTTTCCCAGCACCCGCCACCTGTTGCTCAAAGGGCCCGGTGGCTGAAAAAGCCTCATTTGCATGAGAATCGGGGGGCCGAGTGGTGGGGCGGGGCGCTGAGCAAACCAGTTGAGTAAACGGCTAGTGGAAGGGGAAGAGGATGAGGGGACAATTTCCTCCTGAGAGTGGAGCCCCCCTCGTCTCCCCAAGTTCAGGGCTCACCCATGCGCCTGGCCAGGGCCTCATCTTCCCCGTCGGTGAAAATGAACGTCTGGAAGGAGAGATATGGTCCTAAACAGGCAGCTCTGGGCCCCCCACCCCAGGCCATGGCAGGGGTCCGGGGCCGGGCGTCCTAGGGTTCAGTAGCTACAGCTCAGTCACACCCCCTCCCCACCTTTCTCGGGGCCTGTTCCCCAAGTGCTCTGCCTGAGCAGAAGTAGAGCTGGGGCTCATGCAGACCCCACCCCCATGTCGACAGCTGGGCCCAAGGTCACCCAGCAGCTGTGCGGGCACGAGCCAGGTGGGGCGCCCCGCCCACCCGCCAGGTAACCAGCTCCAGGCCCGCCCAGCGCACCTGGCGAGGCACACACCCTTATTGACACAGCGCCGGCTGCGGGAGGGGGCAGAGGGCGGTGAAGGGACAGGCGGAGGAGGTCGGCTTTGGGAAGCCAAGTCTCAATCAATTGAGGACAAAGGCCTCTGCTGGGCGGCTGCCAAGTCCTGGCGGACAAAGGGCCTGGAGGGAGGATGAATCACCAGGCATTGTCCGCCAGCTTTGTCCCGGCCTCGGGCGAGGGGCGCAGGCCGGCCTTAACTCGGCCGCGTTAAGCGAGAGTGGCCGCACTGCCCATTACCATACAGCTGGCCTGGTTAACTGGGCCGGGCTGGGCGAGAGGTCCGGCGGGAAGGGGTGCGGCCACCGCTCTGCAGTCCTCTGGGCTGGGCCTTCGAGCCGGGGCCCCCCACATCCCTGGCTGTGTGACCGGCAGGCAGGTCACCTTCTCTGAGCCAAAGCAGCCACCGACCGCTGTTCTCTGGAGACGCCGACGGTCCGCAGGGAGGAGGCCGGAAGTCGCACGTGCCCCAGCCCACAGAGCAGTGCCCTGGGCACCCACGAAGCCCAGCATCCCCAGTCCCGCTGCTGGAAGACAGGTCTGGCCCGAGCCACATCAAGGCTTCGCCTATGCCAGCACAGGGCCACCCCTGCCAGGGGGGTGGGGGGCAATGGGGCGGGGCTAGGAGCTGCTGGCGCCCGCCTGGGCCGGTCGGCACACGGGAGGAATGTTCCTTCCTCTGCCCGGCCCGCCCAGCGCGTGCCACCGGGCGCACCCAGGCCTGGCTGAGTGCAAAGCCTGGGGCCCAGGGGGGGCTGCTCTGAGCGCAGGCAGCAGGAGACCCCCCACCTCCATGCCCGCCAGGCCTCGGTTTCCTTCTGTGTACAAAGGGATCCTAGGAGGATCTAGCATGTGCAGGCCTGGCCCGCAGTGCACACCCAGGGACCTGGGGCCCACCTGGAGTGCCCACCTTCACCTGGGCGGCCCCAGCTCCTTGCCCAGCCTGACCCCAGCCCCGAGCACACACTCGGGTGTGGCCACAGGCTGCAGGGCACAGGCTGAGCGCTCAGGGGGTGCAGGCCCCATGCACAGCCTCTCCACACACACACCCCTCCTCACAGAGCGCGGCAGACACCCCAGGGCACCCGCACGCACAGACTCGCACCCAGCCCCCCGCCCGCTCCCCAGCATCGCAGCCCAGGAATGCCGTGGGAGGTGGGAGGCTGGGGCTGCCCGTGCAGACGCTGCTCCGACTCAAAGGAAAATGCTTTCTTAATGAGATCAAGGCCTGTTCCCGCTCGGCGGTGCCCTAAACACCCGGCCCAGGGCTACGGAGATTAAAGTCACCTTTGTTCCGGAGAGCCAGGCTGCCGCCTGGAGAGGAGCACTTGGGAGGGTGGGGCTGTCGGGGGAGGGTGCCGGGCCTCCTGTCTCCCCACATCACAGCAACCAGCAGAGGGACGGGCTGCCAGCCTCACCCACCGCGCAGAGGTTGTTTCCCGCTCAATACAACGGGCATGGCCAGAGCTCACGTGTGCCCAGAGCAAAGCGCCCTCGGAGGTGGGCACCGTGACTACCCAAGTGGACGGGTGGGGAAACAGAGGCCGGAGAGGGGCAGTCTCCAGCCTGTGGCCATACCCCGGGGCAGAGGTGGTGCTAACCCAGCCTGCTTTGCTTTCAGGGACCAAGACAGCCCTGGCCCCCTCCCCACTTCCCCAACGGGGCAGGAGGAGGAAGAGCAGGGCTGGCGAGGGGGGGCACCCACAGGAAGCGGCATTGTTCCTGGAGCTTCGGTTCAAAGAAACACAGGATGCCAAGCTCTCCCCCAACCATTGTGGCCGCTGCCACCGCGCAGCCTGGCCCACTCCTGGGAGGGGTGAGAGAGGCCCTGTCCGCCAGAGGCCCAGCCCCTCACCCTGGTCTTCAAGGCCCAGCACTGTGTGGCCCCTGCTGACCGGACCCCCACGGTCACTGCAACTGCTGGAAGTTTCTCAAACATCCCCCTTGGCCGGTGCTCATGGTGCCCGGACAGCCCTTTCTGGGCACCTTCTATTCTCAGTCTAGCTCCAATGGCACCTCCTACAGGAAGTCTCCCCTGGCCCCTACGTGGGTCAGAGGTCAGATGCCCACTCTCAGGCTCACACAACGTCTTGGGGATTCCCCCACCGCAGCAGCCCAGACTTCCTTGATTCTCCCCCTCAGACTGGGTCTGAATCACCCTGCACAGGGCTGGGAGGAGCGGACCCTCTGCTGACACACAGGAGCTGGTCTGGGGGCAAATCTGGCCTTGCCAGGGTGGGGGCACTGTCGGGATGGAAACCTCTGAGCGCCCGCTGGGCTCGTTCCCTCCGCTGCCTGACCTCTTTATAAGGTATTGGAAGAGTATATGTCCCCATTTCAGAGATGAGGAGACCGAGGCTCAAGGAGGCCCTAGGTCTTGTTCAAGATCACCCAGCTTGACTGGTGCCTGAGACCCCTGACCACATCCCTTCTGCTGGAGAAACCCCCAAAGTCCAAGACAAGGGGTGCTCAGGGCTGGTGGCAGCCCAGAGGGGATTGAAGGAGGCCAAAGGTCACACAGGAGGGAGGCAGAGTGTGGGGGAGGGGCCTGGCTCAGGGATGCAGCCCCACCAGGACTCAGTCAGAGATGGGGGGGGCATGAGCCCCTCATCACCAGGCAACCTGAGTGGCCAGCGCCGGCGGTGGTTCCCATGGAGCGCATAGCTGCACACAAGAGGCCGGAGGCCTTTCTCAGCTGGAGAAAGGGGCTTTGTTACCTTGCCCAAGAGGCCGGCGTGAGAGCCGCCCCGCGCTGGGAATCCTAACGGCCCAGCCGCCAAACAAAACCCGCGCCCAGCAGCCCCCTCCCGCCAGCCCACTGAGTCTCTGGGGAAGGCACACTGTGTTCCCAGGAGGCTGCCATGGGGTTCCCAGGCCCCCTCCCCATGCCGGGACCGGACAAGACCCTGCCCCCTAGGCCTCAACATGACCTCACCGGGGCCCTGCCCCAAAACTGGACTCACCCAGGCCACAGGGCCTTAAGCCTGGAGGGTTAACCAGGAAGGAAGAAGTGTGGGGTCTTCTCTGAGCCCCCACCCCAGTCAAGAGTCCCTCACCCTCACCCTAAATGCCCAACTGAGTCCCTTGAATCTCCCTCCCCCGGCAGAGCCCGACTCTGCCCCCGTCCTGCCCCCACCCAACCGTCTGCAGCCCGGAGATTTTCAAAGTGGGGTGTGTCTGCTAAGCGTGTGCAGGAAGTCGATGCTCAAGTACCGTGTGCGAAGTGCGGGCTCCAGGGTCTCCGCGCACCCCCAGCCCAGAGCTCTCTTTCCTTTGAGTTGCACCCCAGGGCGATTATCTTCCAGCGTGACTTATTACCCATCCCACAGCAATGACTCAGCTGGGGGCAGGAACCTGCCCTGTGCCGGGGTCCTGTCCCCTGCGGTCCACCTCTAAGGAAACAGTCTTCCTCCCCAGGGAAGCGTCTGAGCCCAGGGTGAATGCCCCGGGCAGAATCTGCCTTGGGGACTTTGGGGGACAATAATACCCCATTAATGCACTCCAGTGTTTGGGGGGCAAGAAGCATCACAGGGCACCGGCCCCAAGCACTGGTGGCTGGTGTGCGGTCAGTGCATGCCATCCAGGGCTCTGGAAGCCGGCGGGGACTGTCCCACCCCACACCTCAACTGTCGGGAGAGTGGTCCCGCCAGGCGAACTGGGCTGTAAGGGGACGGACTGGCCTCGACACCCGCGCACGTTCCCAGCGCCTGGAGAGCGATGCAGCCTGGCGCCCATCCGCACTGCCACCAGATGGGCAAGGCTGGGGGCCCCCTAGCCCGCCTCCTGCCCGCCCAGGCCGCGGGGGCTCACCATCTCCTTGTGGCGCGAGATCCAAGTCTCCAGCAGCAGGTCGAGGCGCGCGCGGTGGAATTTCTTGGTGGTCTTCACCGCGATGAAGACGTCGCGGGGCGCGAGCGGCTCCACCTGGGGCCGCAGGTGGCCGTCGGCGGGGCGGGAGGCGCCCCCGGGCGGTGGGCCCGCGTCTCTGCGCGCGCGGGTCAGCAGGCTGAAGTACTCGGACAGGCTGTGCACCTCGCGAGCGAGCGCTCCGGGCGCCGCCGCCGCCCCCAGCCCTGGCACCGGGGCCACCGCCGCGGGGCCCGCCAGGCTGCGCAGCGCGCGCCGGCGGTGCTCGGCAGGCACCGGGGGCGGCGGCGGGTCGGCCGTGAGCACCAGCAGGCAGGCGAGCAGCGCTCCCGCCAAAGCCAGCAGCAGGCGTCGGCCGCAGCGCTTGAGCATCGTGGGGTGCGCGCTGCCCCCCACACGCGCGCCGAGGGTCCCGGGTCCGGCAGCGTGAGCAGCGGTGCACCGCCTGCGCCCTGCGCTCTTAAACTTCGCGGCCCTGGCCCCGCCCCCGGGGGCGGGCCCTCCGCGAGGCCCCGCCCCCGCCACGCGCTCACTGGCTCCGAGGGCGGGACCGCTCGCCCGCTGCCCCCCAGACCCTGCAGCGCCCACGTGGGGCCGCGGCCGGGGTCTGGGAGGGCGCCGCACACCCCGGCCCCTGTGCCCGCCCCGCCGCTCCCGGGCGACCCCCGTGGGCAGCCGCGGGGAGTGGGGCTTTGAGCCCGGCCGGTCCCGGTGGCCGTGAAGGGGAAACCCAGGCGGGCCAGCGCCGGCGGGGGCTGCATCCTGGCGGCCGGCACGCGGGGGGTGCGCCCTCGGCGCGGCGGCCGGGAGTCCGGGCAGGGGCCTGGAGCTCCGTCGCCCGCGAGGGACGTCCTCACTTCCTCGCCCTGCACTTCCCCGCCCCAAGCGGGCTTCCTTCCCACGGGACCACGCGGGCCAAGGGCCCGGGGCGGCGCCTGGCTGGACCTGGGGCTCGGTCCAGAGCAGCCGCTTGGCCACCTGGGCCCCACGCAGGGCGGGGCGCGAGGCCTCGGCGAGAAAGCACCTGCATCAAATTCCACCCCAGCCCCAAGCTGATTTCCCCGAGTCCCGGCCGTAGGTTGGGGGATTGGCCCCCCGAAATCCTCCAGGCGCCCCGTGGCAAGAAACGAAGGCGGCCCCGCCCCGCGGGGGATGAAAGGCGGCCTTCTGTCCCATTTGGTCCCTCTGCGCTCGGGCCAGATGTAGCCCAGCTGTGCCCCCGCCCCGCCTCCCTGGCACACGGCGGCGGCCACCCCCGGCCCTTCCCACGGGCCGGCCCGGCCCACCACACGAGCAGGGGCGGCAGGAATGCGCGCCTGCTGTCCGGGCTGAGGGCGAGGGGTGAGGGGCCCGGAAGTGGCCCAGGGCCCCCCAGCGTGAGATGGGGATCTGAGTGCCCTGCCCGCAGCATCGTCCGGAAGCGCAGCTGGGGGCGGCTCTGTGCTTGGCTGCGCCTCCTTCCCCTCCCGCTTGGGCTCCTGACCCCCAAGGTCACACTGGTCCCCCCTTAGCGCTCACTCTGCCAACTGGCCGGTCATCTCCCCAGCGCCTCTCTCTCTGTCCGCGGGGGCATTTCTTCGTGGTGCCATCCCTCCGCCTAAACGTCCGCTGCAAGAGGACAGCCTGGAGCCCAGGAGGCGCTCCGCGGAGATTAGTGAGAAACCGGCCTCACCAGACTCCTGCACAGGGGACCGGGGCCCATTTGCTCTTAGGGCCCCAGCCCCGCTGTCATGGGTGGGGTGGAGGATGGGGTTTCCCAGGCCTCTTTCTGCCGCCCCCCAGCCCCCAGGTAATTAGCAGGCACCACCTCAGTCAGGCAGATGCCTGAGCAGATGGTGCAGGCTGTGCCCAAGTGACAAGTCTCCCATGGTGTCACCTCCTGCCATAAACCCCTCCCTCATCAGCCAGAGCCCAGCCTTGGAGCCTCTAGGCAGCTGGAGAGGTGGGGATGGGCCAGAGAGAAAAAGGACGCAATGGCTGGGTGGGTCACCCCAAATGGCTTGCTGAGCCCCAGGCCAGCCCCAGCCTCTGGTCTGAAGGTCTCTCTGTGCTGTCATGTCCTTCACCCCCTCAGCAGCGCTGTCTGTTCCAAACCTGGGCTATTCCGAGACAGCCTCCCGCACTGCCTGCTCTGCCCTCGACCTCTTGGGCAGGCCTGGGACCCCCATCCCTTGGCCCCAATCTACCTGGTCTGTTAATCTTCCACTCAGAACCACTCAGCTCGAATCTTACACCCCCATGTACACAAATCAAAATCCTCCAAGGCGCCCCCTTGCCTGGTGTCCGTGCACCTTGTGACCTCGTCCTAGCCCCAGTTCTTGCTGTTTCCCGCAACCCTGCCTCATCCTTCTTCAGTCCGAGCACCGATAAGCTCCCAGACCTGTGCATGAGCTGTGCCCTGTTCCTGGGATTGGAGTCAGCAGCATCGTCGTGAGTGGTACCCACTAGGTGGGAGCATCCCGGGAGAGTCAGGACGGGCAGCAGCACACAGCCCTGCGGCTCATCCCCCACCTGACAAGGTCTTGGAGCCAGTCCCTCTGTGGCCCCAGGGGTAGGTTCCCTGCACCCCAGAGCACCCCTGCTTTCAGTGACTCATGCATCCCAGCCTGTGCTCCAGCCCTTGGACACACGGGACAGCAGGAGCAAGTGCCCAATGCACGGAAGGCAAGGTGAAGCTCAGAAAGGACCCCTGCGTTGGACCCAGTGAGTGAGGAGGCAGGAGCAACTGGAGAGGGGGGCTGCCCGGCCTGGCAGAGTGGCCGCGAGCCCAGCAGGGGCTTTCCTGTGCCTCTCTGAGGCCAGGCTTGGTGGGAGTGGGGGGATCGGGGTGCGGCTGCTGTCTGGGAACAGCAGGACAAAGCTTTATAGCATTCCTGTGGGGCCGTGGGCTTTGGCAAGAGTGAGTCAATTTCTTCGCTGTCAGGAGAATGGAATTTCGTGGTGACTCCTTGAGGTCTGAAAACTGTAAGGGGGTGGCCAGCCTAGCCACCGCCCCCTCCCCAGGCTCAGCTCCAGGCTGAGACGCTCCCCTTCCCTGCCCTCATCCTAAATCCAAACGCTCCCTCCAGGGACCCACTGGGCCAAATAACATGGAGATGGGTGTGGGGGCTGCTGGGCTCAGGACAGGAAGTGGGGAGCTAGGGAGGGTTGATCAGGTTGCCAGGAAGCCCACTGGGGCCTTGGGGCCTCAGGAAGGGGGCTGGGTGGGGGAGGCTGTACCAGGGCCCGGTTCCAGGGGTGGCACATGGACGCAGCCCCGGGGTCCGGGCCTTCGGAGCGGACTGCTTGCCGTCACTCCCAGATGGACTTCTCTGTCCTGAGACCTTGGACCTGGGACAGTCCTCGTCTGAGCTCCAGTTTCGCCATCCATCACAAGGGCGACATACTGTCCATTTCACAGGCAGCCTTCCCCTGGACCAGGGACGTGGGTGGTTCTGTGTGCCTCCTGGGAGCTGGCCTCGTTCAGCATGGCCCCTCCACCGGCCCCGCCTGGTGCTCCTGGTGGCCAGGTGGTTGCATTGAGACCTGTCCGGGGAGGTGGGGTGGAGAGGGGGCTGAGGAGAGGGTCCGCCTGACCAGCGAGGCCGAGGGCCTCTGCTCCACGCCGTCCGGCCCAGAGGCGGGTGTGAGCCCTCCGAGCTCAGGTCCACTTCCGGGCCGAGCCCCGCAGGGTTCCGGAAGCCCTTCCCCGCGGTTCTCCTGGGCGCCCTGGGCTGCCTCCCCTGGGTCGTCAGATCCAGGAGACGTAATGGATGACCCATTAACTCGCAGGAAGTCATCCGAGGCACTCCTGCTCAGCGTCCTGGGAACAGTCTTCCCCAAACCTCAGCAGAACCGGGGGCGGGAGGGCACTGTCCCCAACGCCACTAGAGGTGGTGGCAGGGCAGTGGGGCCTCATGATGCCCCTCTGACCGACGCAGATCCCTGCCCTCAGAGCTGCCCGGGCCTCCTGATGCCAGGGTGCCTGCGTGCTTTCTAAGGGGCAGTGATGGCGGAGCCATGGAGGCCCACTGAGGGCCCCAGCCCAGAAACTTCTGGACCAAGAGGCACTCAGGGAGGAGGGGCGGTGGTGGAGAGGGGCTGGCTCAGCTCTGTGGCAGGAGGGAGGGGCCCAGCAGACAGCAGCAGCTGGTCCCCACTCCTGCAGCTGGGGTGGGCAATGCCCCATGAGAAGAACAGACAGCCAGCAGCTGTGAACAGAGCCCCTGCCCCTCCTGGCCTGCCTGCCTGCTCTGCCCAGAACCCCTCTCCGCGGCCGCTCTGTGTGGTCACGGGCCAGTTCCCTCCTTTCTGTGGGCCTTGGGATCTTACCGGCCTCTAACAGGACTCTGGCTGGCGCCCGCCCTGCCCTGCCCTGCCCTGCCCACCCCGGCTGGCTGGAAGTAGGTGCTCTCCACAGGTGAGAAGCACCAGCGAGCCCTAGTGGCCTGGCCCTCTTCCCTGAACCTCGGGGCTGGGGTGGTCAGAGTGGCTGGTGGCAGAGTAAGGCGTCCGGGGACACCCATCAAGATCAGCCAAGTGCTACCTCTTTCAGGAAGTCCCCCTCAACCCCTGTGCTCCCCCCATCCTGGTACTGATCACATGAGACTACACCTGCCCACTTCCCTGTCCACCTCCCTGTGAGCCTGGAGCTCCATGAGCGCAGGCGCGTCCTGCTCTTTGTCAGGGTGAGCACAAGAGGTGCTCAATAACACTGGCTGACCAGGTGAGGAAAGGGGTGGGTGGATGCATAAATGGATGGGGTGGATGGATGGATGGATGGTGGATGGATGGATGGTAGATGGACAGATGGAGGTGGATGGACAGATGGATGGATGGATGGATGGATGGATGGATGGATGGTTGGATGGTTGGATGGATGGATGGATGGATGGTAGATGGACAGATGGATGGTGGATGGACAGATGGATGGATGGATGGATGGTTGGATGAACAGACGAATGGATGGGGTGGATAGGATGGATGGATGGATGGATGGATGGGGTGGATGGATGGATAGTGGATGGATGGATGGATGGATGGTTGGATGGATGGATGGATGGTGGATGGATGGATGGTGGATGGATGGAAGGTGGATGGATGGATGGACGAATGGATGGGGTGGATGGTGGATGGATGGATGGTGGGTGGACGGACAAATGGATGGGGTGGATGGATGGATAGATGGATGGTGGATGGACGGACAAATGGATGGGGTGGATGGATGGATAGATGGATGGTGGATGGACGGACAAATGGATGGGGTGGATGGATGGATAGATGGATGGTGGATGGACGGACAAATGGATGGGGTGGATGGATGGATAGATGGATGGTGGATGGACGGACAAATGGATGGGGTGGATGGATGGATGGATGGATAGATGGATGGTGGATGGACGGACA